CCTATTGAAAATTTATTTATATAATATAATAGATTTCAAAGATTAAGCAAAATTATAATCTTCCTGATATTATAGTATATACTCTAGTTTTAAAGTAGTGGTCATTAATGATGCACCACAGAGCGATGTAAGATGTTATTTCTAAGCAAAGTAACCTAAAGGGGCGTTGAATACTTCCAAGATTTCTCTAAGCAAACTGCATAATAAAAATAAGTTGCGGCTTGCTATGCATACCAAATATGATAATATTTGTCCAAGCAAGATAATAATTCTGTTTATATTATTTTAAAACAAATTATATAACAACAATTTAAACCACGGTTACCACTTTTAAAATATATAATCAAATAAATGTTTTATTCCATTTATTACAATTGTAATGATTCGATGAAGTCGATTCTCTTCCGTACATTGTTAACTGTATATAATCTCGTTCCAAAGTAACGGGTCAATTACAAATTGTGCCGATTGATACACCGATATTATTTTAAACCAAAATTATAAGTTTACCTTAAACAAAGCATTTCAATGTTATTTCAGTAAGCCCTGTTTAAAATGAAATATTGAATAAAGCTGGCGGCAATGCTTGGGATTCTCTTGAAAATTTCGAAAATTATGAAAAATAAATTTCTGGAAAAGACCTACTTATATAGCTATGTGATGTTCTCCAAACATAAAATATTCTTTTCTATCATGGTTAATGTTCGTTAGTTAGGTAAATATTCTACTAAGTAGGATATTTCATATTCTTTAATTTGCTCTTTAAATACTCGTATAATTCTCTTTTTATACAATCTTCTCTTTTAATACAATACAAACTCATATATACTTAATAATATAGACGGACATTATTCGGATGGATGTCAAGGTATATTTTTGCAATAATAAGAAATTTTCGAATGATAAATTTTAAGTAAAATTAGTCAACTAAAAATTTTTTTTTGTCTAGCCGAAATTTTTTTGTTTGTATCGAGTAAAAGCTAAAAACTTTCCATTTTTTTTTTTTTTTTGTTTTCTTGAATAGAAAATTCAACAAAGCTTTTAAAAGCAACGCAAATATAAAAGTTTTTTAAAATGAAAAATAAAAATAATAATAAAATTACTTTTTAAAAATAACTTAAAATCTCAAAAAAAAAAAAAATTCAACTAATTATGCTAAAATGCGGCTAAGAGAATTTTTTTGATCATTATTAAATTTTTTTTTTTTTGGCCAAATAACATGAAGGTTATTTATTAATAATAAAGAAATAAAGAAAATAAAAAGAACAAAAGAAGTAGATCGTTGAATAATAAGCGAGAAAAACATAAAATAAACAATATGACCGACCGCAAAAACCGCACTCATCTATAAATTATTATAGGTGTGTTGTAGTAAGACAGAATAGTGAGTGCTCTGCTCTGATATCTCAGCTGCGGGACGAGATGAGACGTTCTTTTCTGTTTATTTACGTAGAATATTTTTATCAATATATTTTTTAAAATGCTTATAATGATATATTGAAATTTTTTTTTTTTAATTACCCAAAAATCTTATGTATCGAATTAAAAATATTTTAAGAAAAATTTTTTAAAAATTCTTTTTTTTTTTTTTTTTGTTTAATTTAATTTTAATTTTAATTATTACAGTTATTTGAAATTAAATTAATTTGCAAAAATTCAAAAGCTTTCTTTTAAGCACGTACATATTTTATGGAATTTTTATAATATCGAACTTTTTCTTTTAATTTCCTATATATTTTAAATTTGGAAATTTGTAATTAAATATGCACGTGCTTGTAATAGCTTAAAATAGTTATAAATTTGTAAAATGATTATTGATTATGTGGCAACACTTAAGCAAAACCGGCCAATTCAATTTATGGCAAAAATAGTTGAAATTTTAAAATACTTGAATTCTCTGTATTTAAATTTGAAGTTTAGTGTTTATTTAATTCGAATTAGTTGAATTACTAGACAATGGCGTTATGACAGAAAAACTTAAACGAACAAGACCATTCGATTTAGCACGGAATACCAATTGCCTTATGAAAGGTATTTAATTCCTGCACGGAAAAACCAAGTTAGCGCGGAGGTAATAGTTGGTCTGTAGGACCAGTTTTATCCGTTCAGAATTTAGGTGATTTTTTAAGGTAGGAGTCACGCTCCCCCACTGTCGGAGGAAAAAGGCAGATAGAGCCGTCCTTCTTCGTCGTTCGAGATTTTTTCACCTAGTAGAAAAAAAAAAGGAAAAAAAAAATTTAAGTCGAACAATTCAAATAATGTGGTCGAATAAAAGAGAGATAAACCGCCTTTTTCATTAATTTGACAAATTATCATTGATTGCCTGATTAATATTATTTTGGAATATTATTTTTTTTTATTGTTATAATCACTTATTATTAATTACTAAATATACGATATTAGCGTAAACTAGATAAATTTCAAACCAATTTAAATGTAAGCTGACGACAGGATCTCAAAATCAATGGTAACTGAAAAGCGGAATTACGAAATGAAAATATCAGCTTAAACTTTAAAATTTCGACTTAAACTGTTCAGAGAAAAATTTTTTGAATTTCTAAATTCTGACTTATGCGATTCTTGTTTTATTAACAAGTTGTAATTTTCATAAAAGACGGGAATCAATTTTGAATAATTTGTTTTTCTATGCTTAGATTTCCAATAATTATAACTAAATCGTATCTTGAATGACAGTATGTTGTTAATTTTGTCCAAACGATTTGTTAGTTTAAGAGATTTGGTCTTTTTTGCAGAAAATTCATTCTCTATTATTTATTCACTTTTTATTCACTTTTCAATCAGATTTCATAATTTTTCCAATAAAATTATGTGTTTTTTTTCAATTGAATTTTTGCATTTCTTCTCAAAATTGTCGACTGAGAGTCTCACTTTTAAAAACATAGTAAATAAATTTTGTATACATTTTAGAAAACAACGAGATACGCAATACCGAATAATTCTTCTCACTCGGAAATTATATTTTTTCATATTTATTCAATTTCTTCTCACTCGGCGAGTAAAATAGCGTGTTAGACGATCAGACCCATATAAAAATATTTCGCAAATTAATTTCAAAATCATAATAACCAACTTTTTTTTTTGGAAATTCCTTAAGGCTTTTACAATTTTTGAATGCTGTTACTTTGCCTTTTAAGTCTTAGTTTCGAGAACGAATGATTGGTTCCTAAGATAATACCTAAGAAATTAATGAAATAGAAGATTCAACAATTTACTCTGAATTTAAAAATTTTAGCAATTCCATTCAATTACCATTCAAAAATTTTCAATTACTGTCATACTCACAAAATTTAATAATAACAATAAACGAGGCAAAGAAAAAAACATATTAATGTTATTGTTATTGACCAATGCCATACAATATGTATAAAGATTAAAATATTTTCAATATTTTTCGAAGAGTGCCAAAAAAAAAAAAAAATTGTATTTTTGCTTTTTTTTTTTGTTATCCATAAAAAAATTAAAATAAAATCTTATTAAAAATACAAATTAAACAAGTTGTTCTATTATTATCCAAATTAATTGAAGACCCCGCGAAAAAAAAAGCCATGATATTTTTTAAATTATTTTTGGAATATGAAAAGCTGCTACACAAAATAAAAATTGAGTACACTTATAGCTAAATCTGTTATATTATATATTTATACATATATATGTATAAAATATTATATGAAATTTAAATAGTGGTTTCAAAATTCTTCCGGGATGGCTATTTTTTTTATATTTGCTTTATTACTGCGAAAGTTTTAAAATACAAAAATATTAATAAAATTATTAAAGAAATTATTTTGAAAAAACACTATAAAATATTTGGGAACAATACTAAAACACAAAATTTTAAATTTTAACAAGAGAAGATAAGAAATTTGCAGTTATATTTAATTCGGAACCTGCTATACCACAAAATTATTGTAATGGAGTTAATGCGGCACAATTAAGCAAGCGGAGTAGCAAATGTATACAAGATAAATAAAACTGACGTATGAAATCATAAACGATTTTTAAAAATGGCGATAAATTTCACTAAAATCTATTTTCGAATTGGTATATGCCACATTTAAAAGAACGTCCCAGTGCTATACTGAATTACTTTTTATCTGAAAAATTTAATACAAAATTTCATAATTCGGGTAAATCCAATATTGTCTCAAAAATTTCAGAATTCGATTTACGAGATCATATAGTTTACTTCGGGCCTGCCGGACAGATTTATTCAAATTAAAACAAAACTTTTGCTTTTTGTTTGCACAAAGTCACCTCATCCCATCTATGTTTACTATCATAAATTACTTATATTTAAAACTTTAAAGCATAGACAATCGATCGGAATTTACAAGGATCGTCCTGTCAAAATTTGACTCTGAAACTTACTGGGTCTGGAATGGCATTTCCAGCACCTTTCCTTTTTTGTAAATTTGGCATATTTTATACATTTATCGCAAATATTTTTAATAATAATTTTCAAAATGACGAATTCTTGCTCAATTACAGTTTTTGAATTGCATATACCAGAATGTAGTTTCTATAAAAATGAAAATATTTGTGCTCAGGAATTTGACAATATTCACAAAAGCATTAAAATAATTCCTTGTAACAAAATTTATGTAAGTTTTACTCATCGAACTTGGAAAACTATGTGTCAGATTTTATCATACTTTCTAGGGGGTATATAAAAATTTTTCATAAATTTTTTATTTCTCACTTTATGCTTAAAAATCTTTATTTACGCTAATAAAATTTTGTAAATTTTTCAATGAAGCAACATAATTTGTGTAGCATATTAAATTTAATTTTAGGAAAGTATTAAAATATTTGTATGAATTATATTTTACTATTTCGATTCATCGATTTATATGGTCGTTTTGTATTTTACCTCTTAAATTACCAATGCAAGGAAGCACTTGTTAAAAAAAAATATTTAAATGATTACTAGCTATTTATTTTAGTTTTGAAAAATTATCTAATTCTGAATTTCTTTATAGATTTAGGCAAACCCGTTCATCATCTCGGCGAATGAGAAAACGTGTAATATTTAAAAACGGTGATTGTAATATTGTTCAAGGCAATGTAGCAAAACGTAGGAAACGATATATGCAGGTAATGCTTGTTTTCATAATTCTAAAATAAAATTGTAATTGCAACTTAAAAAAAATATGAAATAAAATTTTAGGATATTTTTACAACACTTGTCGATGCACAATGGCGTTGGACCCTATTAATATTTGCTTTAAGTTTTATAATGTCATGGGCAATTTTTGCAATTATTTGGTGGCTTATTGCATATGCTCATGGTGATATTGAATATATGCGTATAGAAGATGCAGCACTTAAAGGCGATACAGATAAATTAATAGAAAATGAAACATTTACAGTATGTGTAAAAGAAGTACGTAGTTTTAAGTCAGCATTTTTATTTTCGGTTGAAACACAACATACAATTGGTTATGGTAATCGTTATATGAACGAGAAATGTCTTGAAGCAATTTTTGTTATGTGTTTACAATGTATTACCGGTGTTATAATACAAGCTTTTATGGTAGGAATAGTTTTTGCTAAACTATCTAGGTTCGTATTAATTTTGAATTTAAAATTATTAATATAATTTTAATAATGAAAATATTTTTATTAAATATTTTGTTTCAAAATATTTTAGAATTTTATGTTTTGCAGACCAAAAAAACGTGCTCAAACCCTTTTATTTTCAAGAAATGCTGTGATATGTCACCGTGATGGTGTTCCATGTTTAATGTTTCGTGTTGCTGATATGCGTAAAAGTCATATATTAGAAGCACATGTTAGAGCACAAATAATAAGAAAAAAGGTATGTACTTGTATTATTACCAAAGAAACTGTTTTGACTTAGAGAGCTTTGTTTTATTACAATTTGCTATTGGAAATTTAAGTATTATGGCCAGATTTTATTTAAGTTGTTTAGATCTTCTTTAAATTTTCACGACTCTAAATTAAAAACAGTTTCGTTGCCTGTCTTTTAACTTAACCTTAACTTGTTTGCAAATTCATAATTTGCAGAACATTCGCCATTATTAACAAAATATGAATATTTAATGGGAAAAAATTTTCAATTCAGGTAACTAAAGAAGGAGAAGAACTCCCTTTTTATCAACAAGAATTAGAAGTTGGCTCTGATGGTAACGAAGATCGGTTATTATTTATATGGCCTACTGTTATTGTACATAAAATAAATAAACATAGTCCTTTATATGCTCTTTCAGCACAGGATATGTTAAAAGAACGTTTTGAAATAGTAGTAATGCTTGGTAATGTTTCTTTTATACTATTTTCAAAAAATTTTAATATAAAATTATAAAATTTAAATAATTGTAGAAGGTGTTGTTGAATCAACTGGTATGACTACACAAGCACGAAGCAGTTATTTACCATCAGAAATATTATGGGGTCATCGTTTTCAACGTGCTGTTAATTTTAAGCATGCAACAGGAGAATATGAGGTAGATTATACAAGATTTAATGATACATATGAAGTAGATACGCCATTATGTAGTTCTAAGCAATTAGATGAAGTTAGAGTTGAAATAAATTCACCAAAAGGTTTAGGTAATATTATTAATATTGCAATATATAAAATTAAAGATGATTTTTTATAAAATTAATGTGTGTATATGTTGTATATTATAGAGCGTCTATATTCAACTGGTTTGTTAACACGTTTTTCTACAATATCAGTTCCAGAACCAGCTAGTGATGATTCAACTGAATCTCTTGGTGGTTTAGAAATACAAACAGATTTAGTTGAAAATCACAATCAAAATTCTGATGATTTGAAAAACGATGATTCTAACAAAGAAAATATTAAATTATTTTTAAATGAAGAGAAGAAAATTGAAAATAATAAAAGGAATGGTTTCTTGCAATCATCAAAACAATTACAAAATTTAAATAAGAATAGTTTGGATAGAATACCTTTAGAAACTAAAAAATTATCAATAAAACCAAATTCTTTTGATTTTGATTCAATTTGCTGATGATTTTTTCAAAATATACTAGGAAAAATATTAAAAAAATAATTAAAATTATAATAAAATTTCTTTTAAATTTTTTGATTTTAATTTATGTATATTTATTTTTATTTGATTATTAATTAAAATTGAGTTTTAATAAAAATTATTACTTATTGATTTTATAAATAATAAAGATTAAAATAGTGCATTCAATACTATTCCGCCGTTCTTCCCTTAGTCTCAAGAATTTTATAAAAAACTCCACTTTGAATCGCTATCTGTCTATTAAATGCGGATATCTTGTCTGCCTTCCGTATACATTATAAATAAGGTAACTTAGATAACTGCCAGCAATTCATCTGAAACGAAAATATCGCCACAGAGATTTTTTTTTGTTCCTGTGAATGAAAATGTTTATGAAACAGCATTCATAACTTTAAGGTATCAACAATGACAAAGGAAAACATGAAAACAAAATAAACATTTCCTTCATTCAATTGTACAGGAAATCTGCATAAAAAGCTCTTTAAATAGCATGTACGTACACTGAAAAGAAAGGATAAAGGATAATGAAGAAATATTATAGAATTCCAATACTAATAATGAATTGTAGAAAATACCACAAAATAAAAATTTAAATATGGAATCTGTTTACATCATATTTGGAATTATGAATTTTGGAAATATAAACTTCAAAGCTATATTAGGTAAGTTTTAATTACAACGATTTAATATTCTATGGAGAGCCTTGCAGATTGATTAATATTGTTGGAGAGTCTTTGAGTGCAATGTAATTAATTACAAAAATTATTGAAAATACTTGTAAATTTACTCGAGTGTATACATATATATAAAATATATGCTCAATGAATGTTGTGGAAATTTTTCTGCAAAAGACGTGTAGCTATTATATAGATAATATGCGGCTAGATTTTATGTAGCCTTATTGCAAAAAAATATTTACAAAATTATTAATAAAAATTTAGAAGCAACAGTTACAGAGGATAAAAAAAATCACTGAAACTGATGTTAATTATTTTATTTCGATATATTTTCTGCAAAGAAAGTTAAAGGATCATAATTAAAAGTGTGTTCGTATGGTTGAGAAATGCTTAGTTCAATGCAAAATGCCCAAATTAAGATTTGTTAAAGGCCTTTTTTACAGATGTTGTAGCGGGGAAAAAGAAACGGGGACTCATATTTTTTTTATGGATTTTCAATGTTTTTTACATTTCCCTAAGAAGCGGCTTGTGCATTTACAGGGTTTCGTTGCTAAGGTATTGGATTTATCGAATTTTTTATTTTTGAAGAATCTACAGATTCATACAAATGGACTTATAGTGTCGCAGTGTATTATAAAACCAACTGCAGTAATATAAAAACTGCAGTGATTTAGTTTTCTCATTGATCCTCATCCCCCTAAAATCTAGTTTAATCAAATGAAATATTAAACTTGCTATAAATTTTAACTACATTAAAGCTACGATATAAAAAATTTTAAATTTTTCGATAACACATTTTCACATATCCTTTATCGTATGTTAATAATGTTTAATATACTTTGAAGTTATTATATATGTTAGAAAAAAAAAAACAGAAAACATTCTAAAACGGAATGAAATTACACTTCATTACAAGCAATGTTATATATAGACTTTAAAGTAGAATCACATTAAAAATTACCCAATTGAATAAAATGAGTACCATACAGAAAATTCTAAGGAAATGTTTTAATTTTCTTAAAGAAAAAAAAAAAAAAATTATCATGAGTCAACGACTTCAACTTCATTTTGTAAATAAAAAAAATCTGATTTTTTTTCTTTTTTTTTTTTGTCTACTATATAGCTACTCATAAAGAATACCGACATTGATGTTTAAAAGAAAAAAAAAAGGGAATGAGAGGAAAATAATACTCGTATAGAAGCACAATATAAGGAAATCGTATAAAATTTTATATGTATGTGCTATTATGGGAAGCATATAATTTATTGTCTATTTAGTTCATGAGACTATTTGAGTAAACATTGCGATAGTGTGCTTATAAATTCGTGAAATTTCAATTTAAAAGTGTGTGGAATAAATTAAAGAATAGTGAAAGAAAAATTACTTGTGTTAGAGTATAAAGTATTTTTAGAGAAAGCCCGGTCTATCTGTCTGTCTGTGCACGCGTTCTTAAGTTCCGATGAACTGATTTTCATTAAATTTTGTAAATGATTTTGTTTGTGTTATGCCACGGATTTATAAGGCCCCAGGAGCTGCAATTTGCTTGAAATTTAATATTTAAATTTGAAGTATTAAAACAATGACTATATAAACATTTGGAACGATCGGGGCTCGGAAACCAAACTGGAGACCGATTTTTCATATTTTATCATATCTATATGGAATGGATTGAACATGTAGCAAGATGGCCTGTGTACCAAATTAAAGATCAGGAGACAAGGTTGCCAGTTGTGCTGAAAATTAACTTTTTTTAAAAATGAAAAATTAAAATTTCAAATTTTTCGAACTTTAAATTTATGTGATTCCGAAATCTGAAGAAATTATAATAAATGTAGATATTTATACGAAAACGCTTATTCTTAATTTTTGAAATCATATTTAATAATGCGCCTCTCATACACAGTTATACTTAAAATTTCAAAAAGTAAAAAAATCAGTCGGAGTTGATTTAATTAAGTCCTTGTAACTCTAAACCTGTTGAACTATGAAAATTGTCTCCATACAAAAGTTTTGTTTACTTACGATGGTCTACACAATGCGGTATTAGCAGTGAACTTTTATACGAGACACCCTGTACATTTTTAACAAATTCTTTTAACTTAGAGTAGATTTGAACAAATAATTTTATATAATATAGTTGCTCTGTCATTAATTTGCATGCATATACTATAATTTTTTCTTCAAGATATTCTTCATTTATGTATCAAATATTTTATATAACACAATAAATACCATTCATTAATAGATATACTTACATATGTATAACACAATATAGGATCCCAACATTAAATGTTAATAAATTATTTATAATGTTATCTATTATACTTTAGTATAGTATATAGTGAAAAAGAGCTTAAATCTTATATAACACTACAAAAGTACCTACATCACTAAATTGAGCGGTTGTTAATATATTCGACCTATTTATATCATTATTATTACCGCTTATTTTATACTTTTAATAAACGATGAGTTGCAATATGAGTACAAACAGGTATAACATATATATATATATTGTATACAATATATGGAAAAGGAAGGAAAAAGATGTTTTTCCTGAAAATTTTCATTATTTTCTTATATTTTGCTTCGAAACTCATTCAGTCATAGAGTCATTGCGAGTCATCTCATTCCAATACCCTTATATTATATAATAAATTTCAGAAAAAAAAAGGGATACACAATATATATATGATAAAAGTTTATTATATATTAGGATGCTCAATAGCTTTTAACTTGTTACATAAAAAAAAAAAAACAGTACATTTTAAGCATCCTTTTTGAGAGGCCATTAACAAAACAAAAAAAAAAAAAACTACTAAACACAAAAGAAAATTTTTATTATATGTTATATAAGGAAAAAAAAAAATAATATGCTGAGAGGAAAAAAATATTTCAAATATATTACAAGTGCTGAGAGTCCCTTTTTCTATGAATAAGTACAAAAAGAAAATAAATTTTCAAAAGTGGCTTTCTCTATAATATTTTTCTTTTTTTTTAATATTAAAAATTCTTCCTGGTTGAGTCTGACCTATCTTTCCTTTTTGAAATTTGATTGAAGTACTATTGTAAAACAAAACACAAAATACTGGATTTTGTGTCAATTTTTACTTTTCATATAAAAAAATTACTATCTACTCTTTTTTTTTTCATATTATTTTTATGATTTTTCTATTGAAAAGAGGCATTAAAGGGGTTTAAAAGAGTCCCATATATATTCACAATGAATATGGTTATATAATATTATAGCTTTAAGCATTCCAGAGCCATTAACTATTGAATTCATTAATAATTTGTGCATAATAAAGCAAAAAACACAATTTTTTTTTCTTCTTGTTTTTAAATGACACATTTAAATTTTATGGTCTACACTCTATAATATAGTATCTAGTTATATTTTTATAGTATATCTCAATTTTATCATCGATTCCTGATAAAATTGTGTAACTGGATAGATGCAGACATTACTTTATATTTTCACTTTTTAAATATGTGGCCATACGATCGTTTATTATAATATGATAGTATTAAAGAAAGATAGTATGTTATAGAAAGAAAATTTGGCCTAGTTTTTATGTACATTATATTATTATAAATAGTAACTTATTATTCGTATGTCTTCCCGGTTTGGAATATATTGACTATATGGGAAAATAAAAAGGGAAATTTAAAATATTAAGTTATACCATCCTATAATAGTAATATTACGGTATTGCTTTAGAAAGCCGTATGTCATTGGTTCGAATCCAGTTCGAGGAGAAAAATTTTTTAATTTTTCTGTCTTGACTCGCTCTTTTAATTACTGCCTTGACGACTCATCAATTTGTTCTGCAATTGTATGAAGAAATTTCCTTTCGTTACTCTCATAAGAATTTATAATAAATTATAAGCATTTCTTATTAATTCTCATACGCTACACGTTGTGCCAGTAATTAATAATAATATTACCGTATTAAATTGGTATAATTGAACGTACAAATCTCATAAATTTTACATTTTTAAAAATTAACACTATCTGGAATCTACATCTGACTGTCAAAATTTAGAAAATATTGCAAGTATGAAATATTAGAACAACAATCTCAAGATCCTGGGAAATTGGGGATATAATTTATATTATTAAAATCATTCATTATGAGTTTAAACGGTAATAATTGAAAATTTCATTAATAATATTCTTATGAATTAATAAAATTCATTAGATTTTTAATCACATTGTTTGGAAAATTTTCCATGCAAATTTTTTATAACAAATGTGTTTGTAA